TACATTTAGTCTTTATTAAGTGGTGGTTTATTCTTCTGGCTCACAAAGAGCCGGCTGGGGGAGTTAGGAGGCCAGACTCCAGGCTCTCCGGGTAACATTAAACCGTTTATGCTCACTTCATAAAAGCCTCCTCCCTCGAGGGGGAAAGAGAAGATTTGGACATAAAACTGGACTTCTGGCCCTCACAGCTGCGAGGAAGAATAAAAAACTAAAAACGACGGCCGTCCATCTGCGAACCAGAGCCCAACATCCTCAGAGGTCATAAAGTTGTCTCGTTCTGCCTTTAATTTAACCCTTTAAGGCCTGATCCAAGAATAAAACAAAACAGAAAATTACTTATTTTTGGTTTGAATTCCTTATTTGGCCTTTTAACAAAATATGTAAAAAGAAAAAACAGAAATACATTTTTGATATTAATAATTTATTACTATGCGATAAGTCAAGATTATTTTTTGTGTAGTCTTCTGCCCCCTGTTATCAGGTGTATCTGATTGTGTACAATAGGATTTTGAGCAAAGTTTTTACCATTAAATTATGCAAAAGGTATCAGACGCAAAACATTTCAGAAACCGTATGAATCAGATATGATACATTTGGCATTATGGGGTTAACTCAGAAAGAACTCTGGTTTTTAAAGTAAAGATCTTTTCTTGTTTTGTGTTTTTTAGAAAGTTCAGTTAAAGCTGATTTATGACAAAAAACTACAAACAAAACAACTAATTTAATTGCAAAAACACGTCAATTCAACACATTTCATCGTTTTTTCAGGAAAAAAATACAAAAATAACACACAAAAAAACTAAGAAATGTCATAAAATGAGCACAAAGGGGCAAAAATAATCCAGAACAACACTATTTTGTTTGAGAAAGTCAGAGAAAAACCAGCAGAGGAAGAATGGAAGCTGATATCAGAGTAACGCTGGAGTTTGAGGCAAACTCAAAGAAACAAAGGCCCCCTTTTTATGGCATTTTAATCAAATTTAACTTCGAATGTTGGAAACTTCATATTTTTAGGCATCGTAAGCAGAGATTCTGCTGTAATTCCATGAATCCAGCTCATATTTGGATGTTTAGCGCTAACCCAGTGAGTTAGTTTTTAGTTTATTGCGGTTGCCGTGGTGACGGGTGAAGCACAGCGGAGAGGGACGGAGGCAAAAGACAAGTTTAACTTTAGAAATACACCAAGAAACATTTCTCACTGTCACAACAGGCAATCAGAGCTGTAAACAAAGGCAGAAATTATTCTCTTTGACGAGCATGAAGGAATCGAGTTGACAGATAAAATGTATTTTGGTCCAAAAAGCTTCAGCAAATCATCCTAGCTTCACTAACTAGGGTCCAACACATCAGATTATTCTCTCTTTCTATTTGAAATCATGTCAATCAATAAATGTCACAAAATGAGCACAAAGGGGCAAAAATAACCCAGAACAACCAGATTTTGTTTGAGAAAGTCTGAGAAAGAGGAAGAACTGTCACGTCTGGGGGAATGTCTGGTGTGTGGTCTCGTCTTGATTACCTATTGTGTTCACCTGGGGTTCCCCTCCCTCATGTGTTTAAATAGTCCTCGTTTCCCATGTCCTGGGCCAGTGTGTGTTCTGTCACGGAGGTGGATCTTAGAGAGGTCTCAGGTGCGGAGAGGGTTGGTTCCAGGGGTTTTATTTTAACAAAACACACTCAAAAGTAGTGGATGGCAGACATGGTTCAAAAACAAGGCTGTGGCAAAACTATGGACAAAGTATCAAAGCAAGATTAAACATGACTGTGGCAAAAGTATCAAAATAAAGTAAACAAGACTGTGGCAAAACAAGGCTATGACAAAAACATGGCTATGGCACAAAAACAAGACTATGGCAAAGTGCAAAAATCAAAACCTTACATGGCGAGGGGTGACGAAAACTCAAAATGACGAAAAACTCCCTGGCACAGGACAGGGGAAACGAGGACTATTTAACTCATTGACTGGCAGCCATTTTCAGAACAGAGTCCCATACTGCCAGAGTTTTTTGAGCATTTTGACTGATTTTTCTAGAGCCACAGAATAGTTTGTGCTATGACTATGTAAACACCGAACACACCAAAAGAAAGAGTAGACTCTCTTCTTTCATCAGGAAAAAAAAGTGTTTCTACCTTATTCCGTTCTTCCTGGACTTGCGTCTCACCGGCGACATGTTCTCTCATAGAACCGTTAGCTTTTTCTTATTTGCCTACAGTCTATGCTCATCTCCCATCAAAAGTGGCACTGCCCCCTAGAGGGTCAATTTGTTACTACATACTCTGTCTAGAAGCCCATATTTACGGACAAGCTTTAGCAGATCGTCCCCCAGCCACTCTCGTTGAAAAACATAAAAGACGTCTATAGACGTCTTTGGCAGTCAGCGGTTGGATTTGAATTGACGTCTATAGACGTCTTTGGCAGCGAATGAGTTAAACACATGAGGGAGGGGAACCCCAGGTGAAAACAATAGGTAATCAACACATGACGAGACACCAGACATTCCCCCAGACGTGACAGGAATGGAAGCTGCTATCAGAGTAATGCTGGAGTTTGAGGCAAAGTCAAAGACAGAAAAGGCCCCCTTTTTTTTTGCTTGGCTGAGAGCGGCGGGTCGTAAAACAGCCCATAAACGGCGGGCGGCCATGTGTGCGTTTCCCCGGTGACCGTGGAGGAGCGTGTGAAGGCCGACTGGAGCTGGGACCCACTAATAAATCAGAAAAATCTAATTCTGGTTCATTAAAAAAAAACTTGCATACAATTAGTTAAACTAACTCATCAAACTGATATCACCCACATTCACATGTCATATTTATATTATATTTATTGCTTAGACTTAGAGAAATCAGCCAAAAGGAACAAAAAAAAA